ATCCATTCATATATGTACTCTCCATATTGCCGACACACTAGAGAATAATTACTGAATTGAAAATGAAATTTTATATCAAAGCCTTTAATATATAGAATATGTATCGCTATACATACTAGCTCTTGCTTTTGCTGCCAACATTTCCGTCTCCAAAACTCTTTTGAGTCGGTCTGGACACTGCATTCTGGTTATTTTGTTGATTGGATCCTGGTCTTTGACTAGAACTCGGCTTCTGATTACTTGTAGAACCTAGAATACATAAAACAAGGAAAATTTTAAATAATTCAACAGAATTGAAACACTTTTCATGTTGAAATTCTTATGATTACGCTTAATAAGTTTAATAACAATAAGAAGCGTGATTAAAAAAATATATACATATAACTTTTAGTATCTTCTCAAGTATATAGTATTAATTGTAATTTATATGTGTTTAGTGACTAATACTAAATTCAAACAGTTATTTAAACGTTATAAATTTTTGAGTGTTTATGAAATTAATAATAAATATACAATAATATAATATAATATACAAGTCTCAAAATCTTATTTTGAAATTGTATTTTACAAAATACAAGAATAATTTTATGTTATAGTTTAATACGTTGGATAAGCTAGGGATAAAGACACTGATAGTAAATATTTCAAATGAAAATTAAAATGATACGAGAATAGAAAATAATATTTCTTATTGCAAATGGAATTAATATGAAAAAGTAGTGCTAAAAGCATTTAATGGATTAAAATTTATGAAAAATTTATAGCTCATGTTGATTTTCACACAGTTATTCACAATTATATACCATATTATAGAATTTTCCAAAATATCACAAGACCAAAATTAGAAAACCAAAAAAAACAATTTATTTGTTTTAAATGTAAACTCATAATTAATATTTTTATAAAAAATTCAGTCTGTTTCAGATTGTCTAATGACATTGAGAACAAATCGTCAGACTAATTGTAAGAAGATCAGTTGCAGTCTCCACCGTTTTTTAAGCTGTTGTTCCTACATTTCCGATAAATAGTATATTTGAGATAAACTTGTTTTGCTTCTAATCTATTATAATTATAAACATATAAATTATTTATTTTCATCATGAATTACTTGATGTTTCTGAAGGACAGCAAACAATTGGCAACGTTTCTAAGAAGCCACATATTTGCGGTCGTTCTCCTCTATTTTGCAAAGCTGTTATTGCCGAAGGACAATCTCGTATAAGTCGGCATTTACCAGATACTGTCCCTAAATTGCAATTGTCACCTAAAATTTTAAATAAATTAGTAATGATATAAGAAATATAGATGTATTCTTTATGCAGCATTTTACAAATCATATATGAAAAATACTTAGCATTAAGTGTATTATTGTAATTCCTTAAATAACAATATTTAGTTATAATTATCTCAATATATTAATATTCATGACTTATTGTTAATACATGCTGACCTTCATATCTTTGTGAGACTCCCAAACTAAAAATTGTGAATAAAAGAGGCAATAGTAATAAATAAGAGATATTTGAGTTCACGTTCATCGTTAAATCTTATTTATTATTGATTATCCTATTATTGATTTTTATTATAAATTTATTGGAATAATGTATTTATAACTGTGAGTTACTAAATAACTCCATAACTATTTTTTAGACAAAACGTGTAATCAATTTAGAAACTTCACTGTTTATATTTGCAAACTGTTGTTTTAAAATATATTTTAAAGAATATATATATTTTGAGAATGTTGTTTTAAATTATATTTTAAAGAATATATATAACTATGAGAAATATTTAACATGATATATTGATTCACTGATATATTTTACTTTTTGAACCGATATTACCGATGAGATCAATTCTTGGACTAAAATCTTATTGGCGTTAATTTTATACGGGTATCTTTCTATATACACAAAAGTAAATACAATTAAAGACACGCACATGAATATAAATAAATATATAAATATTATATTTCAACACATACACACACAGATATATATATATATATATATATATATATATATATATATATATTATATTTGTATTTGTATTTGTATTGTAACTGGGAATTCCGGTTTACCATCGACAAAATTGATCAGAGTCGATCAACATATTTTTTTATATTTTTTCTCTAAAATTATTAAAATAAATAAGTAAACATGGGCGGCAAAAATTCGGTTTTTAATACTTCTGAGTTTTATTTTCATGCAATGAAGTTTCAGAATTGATTTCAAGTTATGTATAAAAGTAATTATTTAACTAAATAATTAGACAATTAAAATATATTTAAAATTATTTTTTCATTATTTATTATTAACTTCCCGTAGGGTGAGTTATAGTAATCTCAAAAAATCTAAAATGAAAATTTTTATATATCTTTACGTTTCTGAATATTTTGGCATACCTTAGAAAAAATGAATATATGTGTGTGTGTGTGCGCGGATACAAATTTTCTTCGACGATTTTGGGAACACCGATCAACCGATTTGAATAATTCAAAAAACATTCGGTTAGTATTGATAAGGAGACGTGCTGATTAGTTTTTGGCGAAGGCAGGCCTAGCCGTTTCGAAGATACGAAGCTAAAAGTGCAAAAATGACAGGTTCTCAAAGAACAAATCGGGTAATTTGAATGATTCAAAAGACATTCGATTCGTATTGATGTGGAGACGTACTGATTAGTTTTTGTAGGCAGGTCCATTCGTTTGGAAGATACAGAGTAAAAAGTGCAGAAATTCCGATTAGATCCTAGACTTCATAGCATTGTTCGTGAGCATATCGTTGTAGCCTAGTTGGTTGGCGCGTCATCGTTCGCGTTGTTAGATAAAAAAAAGTCAAGACTGATCGGGTTCGAATCCTACGTCTGTAATGTTTTTTTTATTTTTTTAAATACTTTTTATGTTTCTATAGTTGATACTACATAAACTATTTAAAACTGTTAACTCAGTGCATACATTTCGCAAACTAAAAATTGATTCATTTGAAATAAAATATGTTTATTCTAACAATAAGTCCGTTTAATTAGATTTTGTTTATATATATTTCATTCAAACATATATAAACAACGTCGTCTAATCTAATAAGTTTTCACATTTTGTCTACAAGTAACAAATAATGAAAATTCTAGTTTATAACTTCCCGTAGGGCAAGTTATAGTAATCGCAAAAAAATCGAAAATGAAAATTTTTATATATCTTTACGATTCAAAACCTTCTAAACATTATGGCATACCTTAGAAAAAATGTATGTATGTGTGTGTGTGAACACGGATGAAGCGATTTGAATAATTTAAAAATTATTCGATTCGTATTGATAAGGAGACGTGCTGATTAGTTTTTAGCAAAGGCAGGTCTACCCGTTCCAAAGATATGAGACAAAAAGTGCCAAAAACGGTAACTCAGATGAAGAACTGGTCAAATTTTCATGAAGGTAGGTCTAGTGGTTTCAGTGATCTAGTAAAAAAAGTAAAAAAAAAGCCATTTGGCGGTCAAAAATGATCATTAGACATATGCACATCAAATTATCAGATATTTTATAGATATTTTAACAATAAGTATAAATTTTGTTTACATTCCTATGGGTCCCGTACCAATGGTTATCCATTAGACGGCGACGCGGCGCTTACGCGCTTCGATATTCTGTCTCTATGCAGTTAAAGCAGTACGATTGCTTTGAAAAAAAGTTCAGAATTTCCAAAATATTTCAAAATAATTTTTTCTTCAAAAAGTCTTTTTTTATTAAAAAAAAATAAATTTTTGTCAAAAATTTATAGTTTCTCAAAAATCTAATTTTTTCAGAGTAACTTTTTTTCAAAAACGTTAATCTTTTTTAAAAAAAGATAATTTTTGGTACGGGAAGTTCCAGCAATTTGCCTTAAAGCACGATGCCATGCACCCCACTATTTAAATATTAAATAAAATAATCCCAATTAGATTAATCATTTTAATATTCAAATAAATACCGATAAAAAATGATTATAAGATACTGGCTAATACTGTTCAAATTTAATTAAGTTGAAATTAGTTAATTTTCAGTGTAATTTACAGAAAAATTCAAAATTTCGTTTTGTTTTTCTAGCAAATTGCTATAAATATCTTTTAATCTTTTTTATGATTATTTCTAATGTGAAAAATTTGAAATTTCGAACCGTTTGATTTCTGACGCCATCTCTTGCATTTTGAATCAAGTTTATGATAATCAACAAACCCGATTTGTCAAAATTCGTACAGTTCGAAAAATCTTATTAAGCATTATAAGTATTATACATTATAATTTGACAAGTTTCTAAAGTTAGATTCTGGAAGTGAGTTTATAATAATTGTTTGCAAAATAATTGCAAGATATAAGTCTAAAAAATGTATAAAGTGGAAACGAATGATGGCGAAGAATTAGAGTCTGCATTTTTATCTGAGCCTTACGTATTACATGAAGGATTAACAGGATTCGGTTGGTATAATTCGTTGGCCAAAATAAAGCATCCACACTGTTTTTTTTCCTTTTAAAGTTCCGTTGCAATAAAAAATGATAAAATTTTTGTAGTGGATTTGTTTATAGAGCATTTGAAAATATTATAAAGTGATTTAATGCATGCACAGAGTTCAGTATTATATATGTTGTTCTAGATGAAGGAGCAGATAATACAGATGATTCGAGTCAGGGTCACTTAGATAAATCCAATGCCCCCCTTCGAGAACAAGACAGATTTTTGCCTATTGCAAATATAGCAAAAATTATGAAGAAATCCATACCAGAAAATAGCAAAATGATTCAAAACAAAGTAAGATTTAACACAGCAAATAAATACTAGATTTGTGTAAATGCTGAACAACAGAAAATAATTTCTAGAGAAATATAAACTAATATCCCATATTCCATTATAAAAAAGTTTTATAAAACAATGTTTTAGATAGCTAAAGATGCCAGGGAATGTGTTCAAGAATGTGTGTCAGAGTTCATTTCATTTATAACATCGGAAGCCAGTGATAGATGCCAAGTTGAAAAACGGAAAACTATAAATGGAGAAGATATTTTATTTGCTATGTCAGCTTTGGGATTTGATAATTATGTAGAACCCTTGAAATTGTATCTCCAAAAATATCGAGAGGCATGTACTAAAGACACCATTTAGATGATCTATTGAATGTTTTATTATATGCATTTAGAATGAAAATTTATATTTGATGTTCTATTTTAGTCTGCAAAAGGAGAAAAAAGTTATCCGACAGATATTAATTATGATGATATTGCTTCTGAAGATTACGGTGAGTTGCTACTAATATTTTTTAATATTATCACACTAGTTCATTAAATTAAATTCAATTCTTGTGTTTTAGTATTGCATGTACTTTCATCATTTTTTTATAAATCATACTCTATTCTATTATCAAATAATTGTGAGTTTTTCTGTAATTTTGTTAGTTACAATATACATTCGCTTGAACATCATCAATAATTATAATTTAGTTATCATATAAATTTTAAGCTGAATTAAGAATTATATACTACTATAATAAGTATTTAATTAATAAATAATACTTATATTAGGAGCATCACCTGGAACTTCAGCTAAAGATAATTTACAGGATTCCTCACAATCAGATCAAGTAGTTTTCACTTATCAAGATGTAACTGTGGACGGAATAACCAACACATATCACATTAATCAGTAACTTTTTAGAATATAGATAAATTATTTATTATGTATAATGTTAACATATCAGTTTTTCATTTCAAATAAAAAAGGAAGCTTTACTTAATTTATTTTAATGCAATTAAAAGCAGCTTATAACTTTATTTTTCTTATTTTTCTTATAATTAGTAACTTATTTCCTTTAAGCTATTAATTGAAGTAAATAATATTATACGTTTAGTTATTTAAGGAGTTCATTATTTAAATTTTTTTCTGTATCACTTGTCAAAATTCAAACACTTCTACAATAATTTAACTTCATGTTTTATTCAAGTCCATTTCATTGGTCGCGCTACCAGGTTGATCAACCAATTATAGAGTCCAAGTTTACAAATCTATCAAATAACATTTTACAATGATTAGTTTTAAACATTATTGTTATATTATTTAGGGTTTATAATGCAACAAGTGAACAGAAAATTACAAATTAAAACCTTTATATCTAGATATTGATATATATAAAGTACAAATGTATAATCACTTTTTTGTGTTGTTAAGTTTATTAACACGATCATGGCGTCCTTTGCCATGATGTAGACAGCGCCGCAAAACATTAAACAATTTTTGACGTTGGCGGAAATCTTTTTTGAAAAATGTTTATATATTCCAAGCTTATATAAATTATGATTATAATAAAAATTTGGCGAAGTGTAGTGATAAAGTGATTGTTTATAGACATCTTCTAAAGTAAATATTTGTATCTAATCACTAATCAAATCACTGTAATCCCGATCTGTAATAATCATACGTTGAAGTTGGATGTGTTGGGATTTGAATTTTAAATACTTAAATTTTCTGTGCTTAGTTGAACTAACTTGAACATCAAAAGTAATTTTCATAATATTCTTGTTGTAAATAATGAGTTTTCAATAGGTATTACCCTTACCTAAAGAAAAATAACAAACAATTTAGTTGTATAAAAAAGTAAACCGTGATTTTTACTTTTTTCGTTGGCTGATTTGTTTTTAACATCTATTTATTATGTGTTGCATTAACTGACATAAAATAGTGTTAAATTTATTATCAAATTGTTAAACCATTAATGGTGAAATAGGTTATAGGTAACGTTAACGCATATTTTATGACATAATTTTGAGGTATGCATATGCAAGGAGTATGTCAACTAAATGAAATTAAGGTATTAAAAAGCTTTATTTTACACATTTTTTATGTTAACATTAAATGAGCTTGGTTGTTTGTTTCAGAAAGATAACACAGAAGTTAAAAACCAAAAAAAGAAAAACCATTTATTGTTGAAACAAGATCAATTATACTAAGATGTCCCTCGATCTATATGAATCAGTTGTAAGCTTTTTTTTTTCAAATAATTGTATATAAATACTATATATATTACAGATTTGAATACATAATTTAAGATTATTGAATTTGCCATAGGTTGAATCTTTATTTTATGGTGAACTCGAGGACCAAATGGATATTGGTAGGTTAAAACCCATTAATTGTTTATACTAGTTTAGTATATAGTGATAATTCAGTTAGTTGGTAATATTATTTCAGATCACATGGACCGAACAATCAATGAGCTATTGTCTCCTATTTATTCCTCATCTTCAACAGATCCTATGAATGTAAGCTCTGCATGATATTTACATATTCTATTGGTTTTTATATTTACATAACTATTACTAGTAATGGAAACACATTTTGAAGCAACACTATTAGCATTTTAATAATAAATAATATTAAGTATGTTATTAATCTTTATATAATAAATTTTACAGAATTTGCGTGATAAATTAAAATCTCATGTGTTACATGATCATATTGATTCTGCAGCACATAATATCATTACCTGCAGCCCTGATTTGAGTACAGTTAGTGAGCAAGATGAGATTACTGAAACTCCAACAACGAAACTTAAACTCTTACAAAATGCTACAAACAATTTTCTCTACACTCCTCAAACGCAGAAATCATATAAAAGTCTCAACACTTTTGATATTTTTGATTCTGCTCAAGATTCAGATGCAGAATGCAGTTCTTCAGAGATAGATATAGAAAATGGGAATAGAAAACTTAATCAATTATATAAAGAAGCGCAAAGGGAACTTAGAGTTGATGTTGGTTATGATGGTTTGTAAAAAAAAATATTTACATTTATTTACATATTTAATATAAAAATAATAATTTAGTCAAAACTTTATTTTTTATAAATTACCCACTAAGATATAAATAATTTTTATTTCATAATTTTATATTCAAAAACAATATTATTAATTTTATATATATATATATATATATATATATATATATATATATATATATATTATACATTCTAATACATATATATTTTCTGACACGATTATAATTTACATCATTAATTGAAGGTTTTTTAGATGACCAAAGCAATCGATATTATAAACAATGCAAATATTATTGAAATTTTGAATTATGTTATTTAGTAGATATCCTTACTATTTTGTGTACTGTTTATATAATTTTCTTTATCTACAGATGATGTAGTCATTAATGAACAGTTTCTCAAGATAAGTCGTGTTGCACATGAGCTTTCTACTGGAGCTAATATTGACTGTATATTTACACAAACAGAGCCATATTCAGAGATTTTAAATAATAATTTGGTTGATAATGATATGTCAAAGTATAATCCTGTTACGAATACAGATGCTTTTACTTTAAGAATGTCAAAATCTAAAACTGACTCTTTATTATGTATTGCAAATAATAATGAAGTTAAATATAAAAACCATGTAGAGTCATCTGTTCCTCAATGTTCTGGAGAAAAGTCTGAAATTGCTATGAGTAGATTTATGAATGATGTTCATAATGATATTACAGCATTAAATACCAAAAGTATTCAAAGATCATATGATTTTAAGTCATGCAAGGAAAATTTGCCATCAGGTTATAGAAGCTCTTATCATGAGGATATTGAGAATGTGCATTCTGAAAAACATTCAATTAGTTTATTTGAAGATGGAACAAATGAAATTGATAAAAGATGTAGTGAGTCGAATCACCAATATGAGGATGGTAGTTTGGAAAATATTGTAAGAGAATTGAATGTCTCTGAATCCGGCTCTGAAGAAAATATTGACTCATCTTTTACTACAAATAATAATTACATCACAGTTGTAGATGAATCCATTGAACGACCTGATATTTCTGTTGTATCAAATTCTCAGAAATCTAATCGTTTTCCTAGTAATTACATTAAGAGTTTTTCTAAAAAACCCTCGGAAATTATCACAATCTCAGATACTTCAGATGATGATTTAGAAGAAATTGTACACTCTGATATTATATCAAATTCCTTTCAATTATATCAAGACAATGCGAAGGATAATTTGCAAAATCCAACTGTAAATAATAATATAAAAATTCAAAATAAAGACTCAGAAACAGAAAATTCAGTAATGGATGCAAGTACTTATAAAACCATTCACTTACAAAATAATGAGCAGATTATTTCTACAAAATGTAATTCATTAAAAACTTCCATTAGCAATTCTGATATCCATATTGAATGTATTAATAATAGCACTATTGCAAAATCACAAAAGAAAAGAAAGCCAATTTTTCCAAGAATCATGTTAAGTCAAATTATTGAAAATCGCCAGCAATCTCAAAAAACGCAATCTCTGAAACACCATCAGTTTTCACAGCCAACGGTTAGACAGACTACAAATTCTTCACAAAATGTAATGAGGAAAACGCAATCAGACATATTAAAAGATGTTGTTGAAAAAACAAGCAATTTAAATATAAGAAAAAGTAAAAGTGAAAGTTCACTGACTTTTCACAAAAAAGTTATAAAATCATCGCCTAAAAAAAGTGAGCAATTTAAAGAGTTGGAGCAAACCACTTTTCAAAACCGCCTTGAGGAATTACAAAATGCTTATAATATCATGAACAATATTAGTAACAATAATTACCATAATGGAAATGTGTCAAATAATTCAGATATTGCTAATGAGACAACACAAAGCATACCTAATGAACTGCGCTTATTAAATACTGATCAAAATATTGAAATGCTAAAGAAGAATAGGAAAGATACAACTCAATTTATTTCTCCAAAAATAATTAGAACACCTAAGAAAAAAAATCTGTATAATCCATTAAACCCAAGTGCGCATTCTGACTTAAATTCTCATGAAAAGTCACCATCATCTTCTTTAATTGCGGTACATCCTTGCTTGATACTAAACTCTCCAACTTGCGAAAATGATCGAAATCGTATTTTAAATCAATTAAAAACATCAACTAAAAGGAAAAAAATGAAAAAGAAAACAAATAACCGTCCCAAAACACCACCTGTTAATGAACTTTACCAGGTTCCGAAGATTCAGATAGAAAGATCTGATTTGATAACATTCTCATATAAAACTCTGCAAAACAGTCAAGAGCAGAGAAAAAATAATAAATCAGTATACTCTGATTTCACAGATAGCCAAACATTAAATGAAACTAAATCAAAGAAAGAAAAAATTGTTAGGAAAAGAAAAAGTAAAAAGCGTCCTTTGGATGTTTCAAAGACTTTAAGCGCGAATAATTTAGTTGAAAGACAAGACAATAATGATGAACCAATAAATAAAATTACAAAACGTACATCAGCAGATCGGAATTCAAACACGAACATTAAAAATTCATTGTCAGAAGTTCCTAAAAGAGTGACAAAACATGGTCGAGAAGTTCCATTAGTGTGTTATAAGGAATTAGATGAGTCTTGTGACATTTCAGTATGTACTGAAGACAATAATAATAATTATTCTGAAGTTGATCAATGTGATAAATCAATTGGAGTTAATGAAAATGATATAACACACCTTACTAGTGACAGTGTACTAAATATGTTAATAATTGAAGTAGACAAAAATATTCAAAAACCTTGGAATTTAAGTTTATCTTTGAGCGATTTAGAGTCTATAGCTTCCTGCAAATCTTCAAGTAGAGAACATAAAAAAAAAGATGATAAACTACTAGATAATGTTACTAATGAACAGTGTTTGGAAACAAATTCTAACAATGCCTCTTTCAAATCTTCTGATTTTATGAATAACAATTCTAGTTTTGATAAAGAAGCCAATAATTACAATGATGATTTAGCAAAACGCGTTATAAGCTCAATGGACGAAATTATTGAAACACTACGTGAACATAATGTAGAAGAAGGGTGCCGTTCAGAATACACAAGCATTGCAAATAGTAATGTATTAAGTCACACAACACAAGTGGGAGTAACAACTGATAGTTTTGTTATTTCTTCTAACTCGAGTACAAAGAATAAAGGTGACTCTTTTCAATCTAATAAAAATCAATCTGAAGAATTGGTTGAACAGACAATAAATAGAATTGCATCAAATGAGAAAGATATTTTCATGAAATATACAGAAAATGCTACACATCAATCTAAATCATCTGAGGAAAACATGAATATAAGTAAGAATAAAGATGCCAACATGCTAGAAATACCAAATAATCTAGGAAGTGAGATAAATCCTGTGACTACAACTAATGAAATAATCACTGCATCAGAAAAAATAAATTCACTGGAATTTTCTTTGAAGCAACCTGCAGCATCCTTAAAAAATAAATCTATGCCACAAACTGTTGAAAACAAAATCGCATCGCCAGTTGCTTCTTCTGAAGTTTTCACTTTAAATTCGAGGCGAAAAGTCAAAAGCAAAAAAAGGGTCAAACCAAGCAGTGTTAATAAGAAAGTTTTGAGAAAAAAATCAGTAAAAACAAATAACACCAAAGATACTGAATTATTGGTCAAAAAAATAAGTGAAACAAATAATTATAATGAAAAAACTACAAATATTCCTGAAATCGTCTATGAATTATCATCTGATTCTGACACAGATATACCCAGGACAGATTGTACTCGGTCAATAACCAGTGATATTATTCCAAACATGATATTTAACGAGTATAGTGCAAAGGCATCTTCTGGGTATCCTAGTGATATTACTGAACGGTGGATTGAAATGAACAGACAATATGCAATTAATATGACTATGAATAAATCTTTGACGATAAATACAGAAACAAATTATTTTTCTGTAAGTGCAGATGTAAACGATTGTGAGAGCTATTGCATTACCAATCAGAATGATAATAATGATGATGAAACATACATAAAACCTGTTAGTCTTTCTGTAACAAATTCAGGAACACCGAAAAACTATAGCTCTGCTGTCTCATCAAATCACCAAACTCTAAGTCATACTTCTTATTCCAGTCCATCACACTACCATTCACTAGATGAGGATGAACAGCATTCTGCTAATGAGGATTGTATTCAACAAATTCAAGGCAAAGGCACAGAAAATAATTTATTAATATATTCACAAAATAACTCTTCTAGTTACAATAACAATTCTGAGATTGTCGGCATAAAGGCTGGCTGTAAAGTGAAATCCTATATGACAAGCAATATTATAAAACATAATAATATGCATTATGGAGATACTTCAGCTAGTGAAATTTCTCATGAATGTGGGAAATCATTAAAAACTAATACTAATTCTCAGAAATCAAATTTTATCAGTGAAATCATTCTTAGCTCACAAAATTCTTTGTCAAGAAGTGATACTATCTCAACGCTTAATTCATCAGATACTGAAAACTATTTTTCAACGGTTTCTGTAGATAACATGCTCTCCATTGAAAACTATACCACTAAATGCTCCAATATTTCCTCTGATAATTCAAATTGTGGCGATCATAATTCTAATACATCTTTTGAGTCATTTCACCCACATTTAAGAAGAGGAAGAATATCAGCATCATCACATCATTCAGAATTAGAAAAACATGTTGAATCCTCTACTATAATCCAACCAATAAATTTTTCATTGAGTGACATTGAAGAAAATGAATTATCCGAAAGAGATAAAGCATTTGACCAACAAGGTTAGTATGCAAATATATATTTATATATATATATATATATATATATATATATATATATAATAGATATTTAAACATTTTTATTTTTTGCAGATAATTTATATGAATATTCTTCTGATGAGTTGACTGATTCTACAAATAGGTAATAAATATATATTTAAGATTATATGCATAATATACACAATTGTATCTTCTACTATTTATGAATTACGGTACGTTTTTCATAGAACTGACACCAAAAATCATTTCATAAAACAAGCATTCAAACTTACACTGGACTCTATCCAATCATTGCGTAATATACTTGAGGAATCTAATGATTTATTGATGTCAAGTTTTGTTTCAAGTCCAAACTCAAAATTACAGAAGATTATAGCTATGAAGTAAGTTTTAAAGTTTTGTTATTTTCAAACTGTTTACTATTATATGTGCTATTGAAAACTTTGATCAAATTTCACATATAATTAAATCTGAACTCTATTACAAAGTCCTTACCAGGTTAATACATATTTCTTCAATTTCTATATTACAGTTTGTTGTCTGTTATTACAGTTGTTTGTTATTTATTTTAATGCTATGTTTTATTTCAGAAACTCATTGGAGAAAATGCGTATCAAAATGAATTCAAAATGAATTATTTATTTCATCATATTCAACTTCAAAATTACATTTTAGATATATAAATTTTATACTATATAATTATAAATTAATATTTATATTCGTATTTGACATGCGATTTATATTTAATATTTATGTAAATAGATAATAATGAATTCTATTAATTAATCTTACGATGTAACTATTTTTAATGTTCAATAAACATTTTTGAACAACTATTTTGTTAAAAGAGATATTTAAATGGTATTTGATATTTCCAAGATAAAAAGAACAAATAGAAGGTGTAAGGAATATTTAAGACAAAGAATAAGAAGAAGATTATCAGTTATCTAATGCGGTAAACAATCCATTAGCACAATCATGTCTATGGACTAAATAATAATGATCGTAGCATCGTAGCCAATATAATAATGATCACACAAGAAGACTATAGGATGGTGTTACTATGCTATCCAACTACTGGGTCTGAGTAACATTGACAAATAAACATAATGTAGCATAAGCTATTTTAAATCTCTTTTGGCTCATCTAAATTTCATCGAGGCTCATTTTTAAAGCAGGTGTCCTGCTTATTAAAGCAGAGAGATGCATTATAGTATTCTGCTCATTATAACAGGGGAGTGAAGAGCATTTTTATTAGTTTTCATTGAACTTATATATTTTGAGATACATTGCCCTGTAAATACCGTGTGATTTGAGCGGCGGTAGCAACCTGAAATCCACAAGCTTGCCTTCAGCAATGTGACATGCATGTGGAATCTATGTGGTTTTCAGATTGTTACCGCCGCTCGGTGACCCCCGATGTTTACTGGGTGATTAAATTTCTATTACATAGAACATAGAACTCCTTCCCTATTGAATCAAGTATTAGTATAATAATCTTACAAACAATGTTTCAAGAAAAGTGGTGACACAGCAGACACAACTTACCCTAACTTGGTAAAAGAGATAACTTACCTCTTACTTGGGCAAGTTGTAAAGGCACAATAAAATTTGTAACTTGTAGCCATTTATTTTTTGCTTATTTTTAATCGTATTTAAAAATATTAGTATCTAATGCGTGCTACACTACAATACGACTATTCCTAGAAAATATAATAATACAACTATTTGTGCAAATGCGTGAAAATCGTGAAACGTGTGTAGGCTGTTTGCGCAAACTTGCGATCTTTCGATCGTTTAGTAGGAGTATGACAATATTACTATTTTTTTCTTATCTATAATTATTATATTGTCTAGGGCCGATACATTGTTACGCACCTTAAAGGTGCGCCTCACCTAACAAACGACCACGCAAAAGTGAGGCGCACTCATGGCGCACCTTTCTAATAAGCACAGGATAATACACCATTTATGCCATTTATGCTTACTTATCTATGATTTATGCGTGCTTACTTATCTATGGATACACCCTAGACAATATAATAATATGGGATACATCATATCGAATACTGTTTTGTACATAAGATGGCGCATACCTTCCTCCAAGCAGAGAAACTTTTCTTTCAGCAAGCTGTCTCTTTGTTTGGCACAACACGTGTTGGCGATGTCAAATGCAATATCATAACCTATTTATGCCCGGTTTCGTTTATGTTCGGTTGTGTAAATTAATTATGTGTCTTTTGTGCTCATAAAATATATTTAAATATACATAAACAATGGCAGAAATTGATCAGAATAAAATCATAAATGGCCTTAAATCATTTTTATTGGAAAACAAACTATATAAAAATGAATGTGAAAAATTTTTGAAGTTGAAGGTACAGGTTTGAATTGATTTTTATAACTGATTCAATTTCTACTTTTATTATTCTATTGCAGACTTTTGCGAAAAGTGATGTAGTCGCGCTAAAAGAATTCTTTACAGAATTATTACTCAATACATCCACAACAGAATCATTAGCAAGTTGTTTTCCTGAAGAAATTGTAGGCCTTTTAGAAGCGACTATGTTAAGAAGAGATGAGCAAAATTTCACAATCATAAAAACACAAAATCTGCTCTTACATACCCAATATAGCATTATTCTTAGTAAATTACTCACTATACATCCAGATGTTTTGAGGTAAATAGCTTCTTTTAGTGCTTGATATCTTAATATCTGACCAAAAATTCTTTTCGGATTTGAAAAATTCAAATTTATTAACTTAAAAAATAAAGCAATAAATTATTTTGAAATATTTTAAATTATGAAGAATAAAATAATAAAATGAAATGTAATTGAAATTATTAAAATCATACAATTAAATTTTTATTATATTAATTATTTGAAAAAACTGAAGAGGTTGGTAATGAATCAGAGCTAGCCTTTTACAAATTGTTGCCATTTTATTATTTAATGGACAGAGAAAATTATTTATCTGAAAGACCTTGAAAACTATAATGTCTGTTTTGTTTCAGGTTTTCTTTACAATATTTTAGTGTAAATCCATCACCATTTCATTATAAGAGTCAGGAAAATTATTGTTTACCAAAGAAAAGACAAAAACCTAATAAATGTTCAAATATAACAGATTTAGATGTTGTACAATGCTGTTTAACATTCCTTATACATGATAGAGACCACTTCTCTAGAATATGGAAATGGTCACATTTTATAGAATTATTTGGTAACTCATCTGATGAGAAAGTGAAATGGTAGGAATCTTATTTTTATATAAAACCTTATAAATCTCAATTCTCTAATAATTTTGTTTAAAACTTTATAGGTTTTGCTACAAGTGCATATCTATAATAACTCATTTAAGTGAATCAAATTTTAGAAAAATATGCATTCAAAATAATATGGAAATTGATTGCATGTCTATAAGAAATGAAATAAATAAACACACAAATATTTTTAAATCTAAAACTCATTTCTTTTATGGAGATTCTGAGCGAGAAATTGGTAATCAATTAATATTAAATGTGTGAATATTATGAAATATTAATATCTTTTATAATTATAATAATCTAATAATAATAATCATGATAATCTTTCTGAATAAGTTTTTTAAAGCTAAACATATTTATAGGGTCTCAGTTAAACAAAGAAATTGTACCGCAAATATCAGATATAGCCTTGCCAAAAGGATCTGAAAAGCAAATAAACTATAATAACAGAGAGCTTATATTAGTTAAATCAACAAATAGAAATTTAAGAAGCATTGCTTTGGGAATATCTACAGGTAGAAATTTTAGAATCTTCAGGCTAATGATTATTCTTTTTCAACAGGGTAGAATCTAATTTATATAAATTTTGTTGCAGGTCGTGTTGTTTGTTTAACAGGTTGTGTTGGTTCAGGTAAAACGTCCATAATAGAATATCTAGCATATATTACTGGATCAAAATTATTTAAAGTGCAATTGGGAGATCAAACCGATAGCAAAATGCTACTTGGTTCATATAGATGTTCCGATATTCCTTCCGAGTTCATTTGGTCTCCTGGTGTTCTTACACAGGTTGCTCAATATTAGCGATTAATAATGTTTGATGATATTTAACCCAGATTTGAAGAGACACACAAAAACAATACTAATTTTAAACTTCTAGGCTGTCATGAATGGTCATTGGCTTTTATTTGAAGATATAGATGCAGCATCTTCTGATGTTCTTTCGGTTTTATCAGGATTGATAGAATCAAATAAATTAATAGTACCAGGCTACAGAGAGGAAATTCATGTTGCTACTGGATTTCAGTTATTTTTAACACAAAGGTGATTCAATACTAATGTATTAAAATTTATAATCTACTAAATATGCAATTTTTACATAACTTTAAAACAAGTTGTTTATTTTAAATTATTATGTTATTGCACTGTAGATAAATTAGGATTCATAAATGTAACATATAACATATCATTTGCAAGAAAAAGCTTACCAAATTAATTTTTCTATTTAGGCTTGTCACCACATCTACTGGTCACCACAAACGCAAGCTTAACCTGAGTCATTTAATAGATAAAAATATAATTCATGTATACATAGAAACTCTAACACAATTAGAACTTGTAGAAATTGTTAAGGCATTATTTCCAAGTTTGGCAACTATAGCTGAAAGAATGGTTAATGTATACTTGATATTTAGTTCAGGAAATCATCAATTTGAAAGCAATACTAGTTTTTCAGAGAAATGTGAAAAACTGAAGGTAAAAATTCAATAATTAGATGAAATTGTAATTATGATTATAAGTTTAACTATTTAAGTTCTTTTAAAATATTCAATTATATTGGAATTTTCATTGGCTTCTATTTTATTATGGTCTTTATTTAGCATGTGCATACTTCTGGGCGGCTGATATCTACCAGAGATTTTATGAAGTGGTGTGATCGATGCACAAAGGATTTTGATGTATCTAGTCAAAAATCTGCCCTAAAAATATTTCAAGATGCTATTGATATATTTTGTTGCTCCTTTGCGCAAAAAGAAATCAGATATAAACTTGCTTTGGAAATTGCTAGTGAATTAGGTGAGCCATAAAATGAATATATTTAATATATAAGAGAAATATGAATTTCTGTACTAATAATTAACATATCTAAACAAACTGAACATTATGTAAAAATAAATAGAGTAAATATTGATGATTTGTCAAAAAGAACAAAATATTGTACAGTTTAATTCCAAGTATTGTTTATTTATTTGAAAAACTACCAGGTATCGTTGGAACTTACGGTGATTTTTACATAAACTCCTATAAGCCTAATATAGAAATTGGAAGCACTTCTATCACTATTGGTGATGTGACTCTATCAAGAAGAGAAGCTGAATTGAGCTTAGCATTTAAAAATGAAATGGTTTACACTTTCACAAAACCCTCTTCCTGCTTATTGGAAAGAGTCGCCAAATGCATTTCTATGTCGGAGCCAGTTCTTTTAGTTGGTGAAACTGGAACAGGCAAAACATCTTCTGTAAGATTGATTATTGTATTTATATAATGATTTTTAGTTTAATTATTTACTTAATTTAGTATAATGTTAAAAATGCTAATTTTGCTATTATTTGCCCAAATGTAGCAACAGAAGTCTTTCAAAAAACTTAAATATTTGATACTCCAATAATTTACATTGCTAATTACTAGGCGCTCCACGTGATAAGATTATTTGTCCAAATACACACGTAACATATACGTAATTCGATAGCAACTTTGCGCAAACAGCCTACACCTGTTTACGATTTGCTTTGCACAAATAATCGTATCGTTTGGAGAGCCCTTATGAAAACTACATATATTTAATATATGAATTTAATAGCAGACTTCAGAATCAGCTTTACATTATGTGAATATTGCAGGTGCAATTTCTTGCAGAGAAGTTAGGTTTCAAACTAATTGTAATCAATATGAATCAGCAATCAGATAATTCTGATCTCTTAGGAGGATATAAACCAGTAGATATGAAATTCATAGTAACACCCATTAGACGAGAATTTGAAGATGTATTCAGGAATTTTTATAAACAAGAAAAAAATGAAAAATTTTTGGGGTATAGTAAAATGTTTTCCTGATAATTTTTTATATCTGAACTATGTTTTAGAATAGTTTGAGTGCGTCTAAAATCTACAATTTTTTTATAATAAATGATTTCACAGATATATCAGCATGATGTACAATCAGTGCGATTGGAAAAGCCTTGTCAAAATGATGAAACAATGTCAATATACTGCTCTTAAAATATTATCCTCAAAAGATAAAATTGGTACATATCAATACAATCAGTGGCAAAATATTGGAACGAAGATAACAAAGCTTGAAACATTATTGAAGTACAGTAATAATATTTTAAAATAAAACTTTAATGAAACTTTCACAAAGTCTTTAATGAAACAACTTTTATTATAGATCTAAATCGTTATTGGCGTTTTCATTCATCGAAGGTTCACTAGTGAATGCTGTTAAAAACGGTTATTGGGTTCTACTTGATGAAATAAATTTAGCTTCTGCAGAGACCTTGGAATGCCTTTCTGGTATGATAAATATTTGAATCATATATTATTTGTTTTTTATTTTTTATACCTTAAATAAGTACATATTTTATATCTAGATTTGCATCTATGTTTATATATGTTAAATGCATGTTATTTGGAATTTAATAGCCCATTATTGATGTTTATCTGTTTCAAAATGCAGTTAGTTAAATTATATTTATCATATTATTGGTAAAATTACATTAGTTATATGGTCAATTCCAAATGAGCATAATTCATAGTAGCAGAATTAATGATAAAACATAAACTTCTCTTTTGGGAAGTTAACAAGATATACCTTATAAACTTCTATAAATATATATTTACACACACACACACACACATATAATCGAATCCCGACTCGAAAAATTCCCGATTCGAATCAGAAAAAAACCTGATTCGAATCGAGTATATATATGGACAAAAAAAATCATGGATGTATTATTTATTTAGTAAAAGTGATCCAAATTTATAATCAAAATTGTTAGTTTAGTTTAACCAATATAAATAGAAATTGTAAACATAAATTACTATCAATAAGTATATTCTGAAAATTATTAAAACTGATAATATTGAGGACGGTTGAAACATATCTTCAAATTAATTTGCAATAATAGATTACCAAACAATTGTGCATCACCAAAGCATATAAAATAAAATTTGGGATCATGGGTGGATTGTTTATTTTACTATGTAATCAGTAAATTATGTATAATTTAATTAATTATGGATTAATAATGGTTTCATATGCTATATTAGGATACAAAATTTTATTTGATTACCACTGAATGATGGCAAAGATGCTAGCCGAAACGTAAGGATTTTAAATATATACACTTTAAAAAAAACTCTCATACTATTTTTATTGATGTTATCCCCGAGTTTTAAACTCAAATTAAACATATATATCAACATCAAATATATATATATATATATATATATATATATATATATGTTAAATGTTAAATATGAACAATCATATCACAAAATTCTAGGAAATTAATGTTGTTTATGGTATTCATGATGATTAATAATTAAAATTTAATTCTTTTTTATTAATACAGGCTTGCTTGAAGGGACAAAAGGTTCAATCAGTTTATTAGAACGTGGGGATCATGAACCAATAAAAAGACATGAAAATTTCACTTTATTTGCTTGTATGAATCCAGCTACTGATGTTGGCAAGAAAGATCTTCCAATCGGTCTAAGAAATAGGTATGTAATTTTTATTTAATATAGGGTATTAATAAAACAAATCCCTTTTTGTGATTATTTTATTAATAAAATATTTACTGCAGATTTACTGAGTACTATGTTGAAGAGCTGACTGAACATAATGATTTATTAATTCTGGTTGAACACTACTTGAAATCTTTGAGCCCTTCACTAACGCTTATTCAGAATGTTGTGAAGTTTTACCTCAATGCAAGGAAAGAAGCAGCTTCAAAGTTGTTTGATGGAACAGGTAATTAACATAATATTCAACCAATATCTTATTTTTTTCGTACTGTAGTGTAGAGTGATATTATAGGTTTACGTTGTAAACTTATACCTGTATTATTGTAATCATATTTCTTTTTAAGGTCAACAACCATATTTTACATTGAGAACTCTTTGTCGAGCTTTAATTATGGCAGCACGTTGTGGATGTGGTTCTCTGCAACGTACAATGTTTGAAGCTTTGTGTGTCAGTTTCCTTACTCAATTAGACACAAAAAGTCATGCTCGAGTTAGTGAAATGATTGTTCAAGCTGTACTAGGCAAAGATGCAAAAAGTATTCTATCTCAACCTTTGCCAGAAGCAGATGTACCTTGTGTACAGGTATTTTTTCTCCTATGCTTATATTTTATACTACATATATACATGTATTATTTCTTTACTACCATTCTATGTTTGGTACTGCTACTACTATATATAATTTCATGTAATTCTTTAATTTGTTCCGTAATTACGCTCGCATATAAAATTGCTCATGCTTCGAAGAAATTTTACAATTAATATAAGATGGACCTGTTTTATGCGCACCGCCATAAGTTTGTCACGCGCACGTATCTCAAAGCCGCTCTTCTGGCAGCTCGTATCTTAAAACACTTGTATGTCGGGGGACGAGATACCAAATGTGTATATATATATATATATATATATATATATATTATATAATTATATATATACTTGTCGCGTTTTTAACTTAAAAGAACATTAATAGCTTAAAAACTTGTTACTGTTTTATAAAACTTACAATAATAGTTTCATATATTTATATTTAATTTTTAGTTACATTTTTTTGAAAAGCTATTCAGAAAGTTAATTTAGTGTTTTATTCGAATATAAACAAAATTTGAAAATATGTTAATAATACAAGCAAATAAATGGTTTAGAAAAAGGTTATAAAAAAATTTAATTTGAAAAAATGTTCACTTACAAAATGTCTGTACCAATTCAATTTCATATTATGTATTATTTTTCAGTTTGAGGGCTATTGGGTGCCAAGAGGTGAATTGGAACCTTTCTCTTCTGAAAAATATATTTTAACGGAAAGTGTTCATAAGAATCTTCGTGATCTTGCCAGAATTGTTTCCATTGGAAGACTTCCAGTTCTATTACAAGTAAGATTATAATCAACTTGATTGCAAGTTCTCTCAAGCATCATTTGTTTTGTGTTCAGTAAATACGACTACTAACTTAACCGTTTAAGTTGTTTCCAGCAATTAGTTGTCTACTCCTCATGACTTGTACAATGAGATAACACATATATATATATATATATATATATATATATATATACTTTAACTTTTTTATTTGTTTTATATTTATTTTTATATCATCTCATGTATTATTTATTTTATATTTATTTTCTTTCTCCCGAAGAAGAAATTTATGTTTTTGCAAAAAATTTTGATTTGGTAATTTTGTTTTTTCAATGTTTCGAGTCATTATGAATCGACCAAACTTGGAAAAAGTAAGTAACCCGATCTTTTACCTTTCTCAAAAACGGCTCGACCGATTTAAAAAATTTAAAAGCCATTTGATTAACTCGATAAGGGTTTAGCGTTTATCAATTTTATGCGAGAATTGGCGGAGCCATTTCTTTGTAGTCAGTAGAGCTTTTCGTCTTTGTTTTAGTCCACAATTTTTAATAGGTTTTGAAACTTTAAAAACCATTCGAAAGATATTGATTGCGTAACGCGTTGATTAGTTTTTGGTGATGGCTTGGCCGTTTCTTTGCAATTAAATGTTGAAAAAGATGTATTGATAGTTTTGATAAAACTTTGTGTAACGATAAATTTTGTCGCCTTAAATAACTTACTAAAATATTATAAGCCTATGTTAGGTAATTGAATTATAAAAAACATCAACCATATTTCCCTGTATATTCTTTAGGATTTCAACGTTATCACATAAAATACATTTTCAGAACATGAAATGAATGAAATGAATTGTGTTAAATTAATTAAATGTATACAATTACAGATTGTATGTTTGAAAGGCATCAATTTTAAATCGTATCAATTAGTAGCAACTGTTAAATATTTTATATCTAGATGATATGTATACAATTATGTATATGTATCAGGAAGTATGTGCAGCTTGCCTTAAGGCAAAATGCTGCTTGCAACTAGTTATACAATTAAAATAAAGAAATTTCATATTAAATCAACTTTTTCATGTTACCTGTAATTCATTCAGGGTGACACATCAGTGGGTAAAACAAGTTTGATAACTTACTTAGCAAAGGCATCTGGTAATAAGTGTGTAAGAATAAACAACCATGAACATACAGACCTTCAGGAATATATTGGGAGTTATGTGGCAAATGAAAGGGGTATGCTTATTTTTTGTGAAGGTGCCCTGGTTCAAGCAATGAGATTTGGTCACTGGATTATATTAGATGAGTTGAATTTAGCTCCTAGTGATGTTTTAGAAGCCCTTAATAGAGTTCTGGATGATAATAGAGAGTTGTTTATACCTGAAACGCAAACTGTTGTTAAAGCTCATCCCAATTTTATGATATTTGCTACACAGAATCCTCCTGGGATTTATGGTAAGAATGTTTTGTGCAAAATAAAGAATTGTAATAAAATGAATAAACAGAATAAAGAGAATCAAAAATATTAACCCTTTGCGTCCGGACAACGTAAGCCTAGCATAAAGTTTGGCTGTCCCCTCTGAGGCACCCATCAGTTTCTATACATAATATCAATAATGACTCAGTTTGCATTGAAGCATCAAATATAATAAAATCTATTCAATAAATCTATATAATAAATATGCCATTGTAAAACAGTCTTATTTTCAAAATTTACTATTAGTTGTTTTGAAAGTTTTTTTTTTTTTTTGTTCTTTTATCATATAATTTTTTCTTTCTAAATAGTATGAAACGACCGAGCAATTTGTATAGCGCATAAAAAACGATATATTACACTTTTCTGATAGATTGTTTTTGAATCGGTGCCGGGCGGAAAAGGTTAAATAAACATCTTATACCATTTAGCTTCTTTACGATGTTGAAGTTTTATTTAGGATTGATCAATTTTTGATATGTAGGTGGTCGAAAAGTTTTGTCAAGAGCTTTTAGAAATCGTTTTATTGAGCTGCATTTCAATGAAATACCCTCAAATGAATTACAAACAATCCTTAGTCAGAGATGTCATATTCCCCCTACATATAGTAAAAAAATGGTGGCTGTAATGACCGAACTCCAGGTAATGAAATATTTCTAACTTGTTTTTTTTGTTGTGAATTTTTAAAAATATTTTTCAAATTAATGTGTTAAGTTAAAAAGAAGGGGTTCAGCGGCATGTTCTGGAAAGCATGGTTTTATGACTCTTCGAGATTTATTTCGCTGGGGAGAACGTTATAGGCTTGCTACCAATATAGAAAATGAGAATAACTATGATTGGGAGCAACATTTAGCAGATGAGGGGTACAAAATGTTCAATATGTTTTTTTTTATAATTTTTATTTATAAATTATAACACATCTTTTTAGATATCTTGTATTAGCAAGTCGAGTAAGAGAACACAATGAAAAATTAGTTATTCAAGAGGCTATAAAGAAGCATATGAAAAGATTACCTGAAGAAGATCGTTTGTTTACATGTAATGTTACATATCAATATTATATTGTCAGCTATTTTACTTGCATTCATTTTAATATTTTTATTTCAGTGACCACAAATACATCTCTTGTTACCAAACACATTCTAATAGAGTTACAAAATTTAGTTTCCGAACAGTTTCCTCACATTGTTTGGACTAAAAATTTAAGAAGGTTAATGGTTTTGTTGAGAAAAACTTTTCAATATAAAGAACCTGCTTTGTTAGTAGGAGATACAGGTAAAATTTATTTTATATTCATAAATTCATATTTTTTTCAACTTGTTTTTTCCTTATTAATCAAATTTATATACATACATTCAAAAAAACATATATATTGTGTGTTAGGTATAAGATATATATATATTTGAAATGTTAAATTTTTTATTTTCATACAGGTTGTGGTAAAACAACTGTTTGCCAATTATTGGCAAGCCATTTGCAACAAGAAATGAAAATAGTCAATTGTCATATGCATTCAGAAGCTTCAGATTTCTTAGGTGGATTACGTCCTGTTCGAAACAAAAACGTATGTTTTTAATATATTACAATAAATATTTTTGAACTTTTACCAACAGATATTTTTGCAGGATAATGATGGATTATTTGAGTGGGTTGATGGACCACTGATACATGCAATGAATAATGGTGAATTCTTTCTAGCAGATGAAATATCTTTAGCCGATGATAGTGTTTTGGAAAGACTGAATTCTTTATTAGGTTGGGTTTGTTAACATGCACATTCTAAGTTTAATTACAGAAATGTACTTCATACCAAATTTCAGAACCTGAGCGCAAGTTGCTTGTGGCTGAAAAAAATGTTATAGATGGAGAAAGCTGTGAAATTATAGCAGATGAAAAGTTTCATTTTTGTGCTACAATGAATCCCTCTGGTGATTATGGTAAAAAGGAATTATCACCTGCCTTGCGGTAAGCCTTTTGTAATATGAATTGTTTTGAATGTTCTGTTATTTTACTAAATTATTTGATTTTGTTTTTATTTTCAGAAATCGTTTTACTGAAATATGGTGTGATAGTGAAAACTCAAGAGAGGATATGCTAAACATTATTAATCACAACCTCAACATTAATGAAGCTAAGAAAACATTTGAAATTGGCAAATGCATTCTGGACTTTGTTGATTGGTTTAAAATACAATCAAGTGGTATACGGTAATTGAGAATTTGTAAACCATAATTTAGTACTGTTGATTATAAATTATTTGATACTTTTATTTCTTTATGATAAATAGAATATAGCATAACTGACTTTATAATTTTCAGACTGCAAATCAGCATAAGGGATATTTTAACATGGCTCAATTTTATAAATAATTGTACTGTGCGAGGATTAACACTTGTAGAATGTTTTGTTCAAGGTGCATTTCTAATATTTTTAGAAAGGCTAGGAAATGAGGGGTAAGCTTTCATTTTGCATTATTATATAATTTGTTACATAATTTATATATATTATGACCATCAGTATGACGCGCTGTGCAAGTGTGCGTGATAGTGTTGTGCAAACGATATCGAATACCTAACACCACGGTTTGCACAACACTATCACTCACACTTGCACAGCGCGTCATACTGATGGTCAGTTACGGCCACATGTGTTTTTTCTTTCTCAAAATTTTGACTTCACATCTCGGATACACGAGTGCTTACGTATAATATTCTATTTATTAATTATTTTTTATTCTTTTTAAAAAAGAAATTACTGACATTTGGTACTTGTTTCCAATCATTATTTTTTTTACAAGCTGTATTAATATGTGTAAGTGATAATCTAAGAATTTCAAGTAAGTAATGTTTTATGCATTATTTTAATTTAAAGTTTAGATATAATTAGTCTGTCTCTTTAGTTAAATCTTTTTCTTTTTATTTTTGCTTATGTATATTTAGTTTTTAATGTTACTTTCTGTTTTTTTTCAAAATTGTAGAACTACTGATGATGACGTAGAATTTTACGTCAAAACGTAAGGAAAAATAAAGATGTTTTAAAAAAAACTTTACCTACTTATATTTTTTACTTGATGTTATGCCCTCCAAGAAATTAATTATATATATATATATATATATATATATATATATATTATAAAATGCATAAGTAAATTTAAACCAGGATTGATTTGATTTTTTATAGAAGTATTGGATCAAACTTACAAAAGGAATCGGTAGTGTACATCACAGAAATTTTACAAAATTATATTCAAGAAAAATCACTTAATAACTCTGTGATGCAGATGACCAAATCATTGAGCATTGAATTTACAGATAAACATTTTGGAATAAATCCATTTTATTGCGAACTTGGACCTTGTATTAATGATTATTCTAAAATCAACAGTAACAATGATTTTGTATTTACATCTCCTACAATAGGTAATAATTTTTCTGAAATATTTTCATTCTTGTAATCAACAAAAATCTATAACTTCATTCTTAATTATTACAATAGGTATGAATACTTTTCGATTACTGAGAGGTATGCAGTTAAGTAAACCTATATTGCTTGAAGGAAGTCCAGGTGTAGGAAAAACAAGTATTGTAAGTGCATTGAGCAAAGTAAGTGGAAACAAGCTAGTTCGTATCAATCTCAGTGAACACACAGACATTAGTGACCTTTTTGGAGCTGATTTGCCTGTTGAGGGTGAAAAATCAGGATCATTCGCATGGAGAGATGGACCATTTTTGCAGGTAGAATTTTGCCCTTATATAACAGATGGTCTTTGGGTTTGACAGAGCCCTGAGAGCAAATTCGTTTAAATGAAGAATTAAAATTTTTGTGATGTACATATTTTAATAAATAGGTTTTATTTTCAAGGCTCTTCGAAATGGTTATTGGGTTCTCTTAGATGAATTGAATCTTGCACCACAGCCTGTTCTTGAAGGGTTGAATGCTTGTTTTGACCATAGAGGTCAGATTTTCATACCAGAGCTCAATAGAACATTTAATGTGAAGCCCAACACTCGTTTCTTTGCCTGCCAGAACCCTCTGAGTCAAGGTGGTTCAAGACGAGGTTTACCGCAGAGTTTTCTAAATAGATTTACTCAAGTGCACTTTGCACAGATGCATGCATCAGATTTGGAATTTATTGCTTCTAGTCAATATTCGCAAATACCAAAATATTTGATTTCAAAAATGGTGAAATTTGTTACTGAATTGGCAACAAATGTTACAGATTTGAGAAAATTTGGACATAAAGGTTTGTTATACTTATATATTAGCTACAAAAATTTGTAATATAAAAAGGTTAGTTTATCCTTAATTATTGTCAGGTTCACCATGGGAATTCAACTTAAGAGATGTACAACGATGGTGCGAATGTCTCATACATTACAAGCAAACTTATAATCAGGAAATCAATCCCAACAGATTTGTGGATTTAATTTTTATTGATAGAATGAGAACGCAACAAGACAGAATATTAATAAAGCAATTATATGACAACATTTTTGCTGATGATTCTGACTACTTTGACTACAATAAAAGTGATATAAATCTGTTGATAACCTGCAAAAATGTTTACATTGGTGATTGTGTTCTAGAAAGATCTGATAAAGCTACTAATTTAAATTCTGACAATTTATTAGTGCTTCGAAATCAGTTGCCTTTGTTGAGAAATTTGGGGCATTGTATCAACATGAATTGGATGACTATTTTAGTTGGAGATTCTTGCACTGGTAAATCAAGTGTAATTTCTTTATTGGCAAAATTGTGCAACAGAGATTTGAAAGTTATATCAGTTAATAGTGCAATGGATACAACAGAAATATTAGGAGGTTTTGAACAGGCTAATTTTACAAGACATTTTCAAGACCTCATGAGTAAGTTGAGTAAAAAAAATTAATGTGGATAAAATTTTAAGTTTTGCTTCTAATGGGAATAACTATTATTATTTTTAAATCTTGCTAATGTTTAAATGTCTTTGTGATAAAATAATATTTATTAATACCTCTTAATATTTTCTAATATTGCAGCTAAGGCACATAATTTACTACTTGATGTTATTCATCAAATGATAGATAATACATCTTGGCTTAGTATCACTCAAAAGTTGCTATCAATGTGGGAAAATCTTCTTAATACCATAGATAAGCCAATGCAAAAAAGAGTCACATCAATTACAGATGATATTGACGTATTTTGTTCTGGTATCAATATTTTATTCAACATTCTTGCTGCTCTAAAGGATTTGAAGTTTTCGGAGTATGGTAAATATAGAATAAAGTATAATTTCAAGCAAACAGTATCATAATTTTTGTTTAATATTATAAGCTTCCCGAAAGTGTAATTTGTTCTGGTGAAAACTGCTAATTTATATTTTTTTACGTCTTAAGAAAATAAATAATATGCAACAGTATAAAGTTTGCTTACTGCGACTTTATATACTTAAAATAAATATTAATACATACATAATATTAAATTGTGTATATTAGAAAGTTCTTGCATCAATGCTAAATGTCACTTTATTAAAATATTTAGTTAGTATTTTGTTACAAATAAATACATTGTTAATGTAATTAATAAATTATAATTGCAGATAATATAATAACACAATTAAATAGTAAACTAATTGAACTCAAAAAAGATCTTGAGAAAGATAATTCATCAACAGTGGGAGGAAAATTTGAATGGGTAGATTCTATGTTAGTAAAAGTAAGTTTAATTGTTATTAAAAATATATTAAAAAAATTTACATTCTGAGAATATCAGTGTGTTGCAGTGTTTAAATGAAGGCAGCTGGCTAGTACTAGATAATGTAAATTTATGCTCATCTGCTGTACTTGATCGCCTAAATGGTCTTTTAGAGCCAAGTGGAGAATTAATATTATCTGAACGAGGTGTTGATTCCAAAGGAGAACTTGTCATAGTTAAACCACATCCTTTATTTAGGTAATCTCATGATTGCTACTATTATGATAAAATTATAGAATTATCTTTTCTTCATTCTCATCTGTGAAATATAATTAATGTTTATAACTGTTTTATATGAAACATGTCATAATTCTCATCTTATTCTAGATTATTTTTGGTAATGGATCCACGTCATGGTGAAATTTCTCGAGCTATGCGTAACCGTGGAATAGAGCTTTGTATTTTAGATAAATTAGATTTAAAACCAGGATCTCAGGATATTCTTGATGTAAAATCGTTAATGACTAACATAGGTGTTTGCAATCACAGTATTCAAGACACTCTTATAAAAATACATAACGCAGTCTGTAATATGTTGCCTGGTGAGTTAAATTTTAATTTCAAAATTATTATGTGGTGGTTATACTTCTTATTTTATTTTCTGAACCATTTAATAATTATTGCAGGAGTTCCTACAATAAAACTTATTTATTGCTTGATGTTCTCTATAAAATTTAAATTTAGATTAAGTAACATCAGTTAATTATTAAAACTTTATATAGTAACTTATTTATGTTAAAATTACTATAATTTTGTTTTTATGGTGCACCACATTATTTGTTTCTTGAAAACAAGTAGTAGAATAATTTTGGTATATTTCGAGTTGCTGTAAAAACAGAATTATTTATATTCTGTAAAGTTAGGTTTTTTATAACTTTTAAATGCAAATAATCAAATCATTCACTTTTATAAGAAAATTAAGATAATGTTTTTTTTTTAAATTTAATTCATTGTAAATATATTTTTAACTTCCCGAAGGAGAAGTTTGTTTTCATCAAAAAATCCGATTCGCTAATTTTGTTTTCTCGACGAATGAGACTAAATTTGGAAAATGTATGTGTGTGTGTGTGTGTGTATGTGAACAGATTTTTGCCGTAAAATCGACGTTTTCTCAAAAACGAATAGACCGATTTCAAAAATTTAAAAGCCACTCGATGTATCGCGATGAGTGTGATATCAATAGAAACAAAATAACTCTACAAATTAGTAAATAACAGCTCTGTTTTTTGCGTAAAGTACTTATTCAATTTTTTCTTTGTTTCAAGTTACCGTGGAATAAAAAACGAAATTATCTAATGTTCAATCCCGTAGGCGCAAACCTGCGAAAGATTAAATTAATTATTGGGCATTATTGACGAAAAATTGCGAGCTGATTTTGTTGAAACGGAAGTTTTTAAAAAATATGAACAAATTATAATAGAAAAAATGAAAAATGGGGAGTCAGAAATTGAATTGTAACTTTTTTGTTGCAAATGTTTCTTATCTGATGAACTTTGAATGTTGAAGACATGCGTGGTTAAGGTTATGGAACTGGAACAAATATGAAAAATGGAAGCAAAATTTACTTTGGAACGAAAATCTTAAGGCTTTTTTTATATCTTGTGGTGTCCATACTCTAAATTTAATTATTATTAACTATGCAGAAATAATACATATCAAATATAATTAGTTTTTTTTTCAATATAGTTCAAGAAATGAACTATTTTCAATGAACTTTCTTAGCATTTTTTATTGATTTTCGGACAATACTTCTAAAATACGTTAAAAAATGATCACAATCACAATTGAAACAATCTCATACTCTGAATTTGACGGGAAAGCAAGGATGAATACAATGCGGGTCTTGCGATATCAATAAGGAGAAGTTTACGAAGCAATTTTGGATATTGTAAATAATAAATAATTAATTTAAATTAAAATTTAAAAAATCCAACATGAAATATGAGTGTTATAATTGAAAATGAAAAGCTAGTTTTTTTAGTTCTCTTTGACATGATTTGCTCAATAGAATAAATCGCATAATAAATAAGTAAAATGTTTCAAAACCTAAATATTAATATTGCACATACGTTAAAAATAATTGAAAACTTAAAAATATTTGATTATAGTCAACCCGCGAATGGCATCGATTTTTTAAATAAATTTAAAATCAATGTACTTTATATGCTTTTAGATTTTATCTAATTTTTTGTGTACTAAATCGAGATTAATTAATATGATGTAGCTTAAATGAAAGTTTCTTGTTGATTTCAGAGTATGAACAACCTAATAGTCATTATTTGTTAGATGCTAGTTTTCTTACTGCCCAGCAAATCAAAAGAGGCACACCGCTGAATATTGCATTAATGACTTCATGTTGTGATCTATATATAAAATCAAAATCTAATTATCTTAATTCATTGATTTTGAACAATTTGTCAAACAGTATTCAAGATATAATTGAAAACTATTCATCAGCTAGTTACAAATTGTAAGTAAAATTAAAAAATATGTAATTTGTTCATAAAATTAAAATTATACTTTCATAAAAGCTTGAATCAAATATTATGCTACGAATAGTAAATAAGAAATCTTTATAATTTTTTTTTTTTTCAGTGATAATACTTTGGACATAAACAACTTTACCCTAAGCTCACAAAGATTAAGTGAAAATTGTGTCTTGTCATTAGTTTTGCAGCAATCTGAATTATTTTTTAGTCTTCTGCGATGCAGCATGGATAATTTTAATAAGACAGAACTAATAAATTTTTTGTATCGAATTTTTCCCGCAAGCTGTGATTTAAATAATATTGATATGAATATTATTATGTATTTCTTATTGATAGAGATCTATCAGATGTCAAGTTTAGATGATGTGAATAGTAGATTCTTTTATATGGAGACAAATTTGAAGAAGTATTCAAATATTAATGCAGATAGTACAACATTTTACAGAAGTATTAACAGAGCATTTTGTGATATCATTAAAGAGTCTAATATCTTGAATCAAGCTGATATGGTTTTGCCTTGGGATGGAAGAAACGGTATAAATTTCTCATGTACAAAATTAAATGTTAGCAGTTCTAACAAGATTCTTTTACATCTATATTACACTGTGCTTACAAATATTGAACACTCAAAACAAAACACATTAACTAAAAGTGGGATGACTAATTTAAAGTCAAAAACCATTACTGTATATGAATATTCAAATGCAGTTTTACACAATCAGCTCACAGATACAATAAATTTGCCATTAGTTAAATTTTATGTAGTTCTTCTTAAATACTTTGATAGTTTTGTCAATACACTACTTTCTGATGTCAATTTTAATCTGAGCACTCAAAAAATGATAGATTTATACTGTGCAGTTCAATGGAGATTCAGATTTCAAAGAATTGGTAGTTCAGTTATAATTAATAAACTAAATAAATCTGTGAGTTTTATAGAAAGTGTAATAATAGAACTTACTGTGCATTATCAATGGTTTCTTAAATGGTGTCTTAAACCATTTGAAACAATTAAATATGTTAATAAAAGTGAAAGCTACACACATTTAGAACAATTGAGAGTGGTCCTGTCATTAGTTAATAGCTCAGTTAATAAAGATTGCACTCCATTACAGAGCTTACGAAAACAATTTAATAAATTGTATAAAATGTTGCCATATTCATCATTTATTGAAGCTGATTTATTAATTAAATTAGATGAACTAAATAAGAAGCTTAGCCTCTGGTGGCACATGGATCAATCACATATCACTACTATGAATTCAAGAATAAAAGTACTATGCCAAGAAGATGGTTTCAAAATGCACGATTTATTAGTAGAAGCTTATTTTGAAGTAAAAAATAAAAATTATGAATTAGTTTCTAATATAGTGCATAAAATTGAAAAGTTCTGTATTGATACCATAAAAGTTGAAGACCAATTGTTACCTAAGCATCATTTCAAAAAACAGCTGTGGACACTGCAAGAGTTTTATATATTTTATGCAATTAATTATATGCTATCCTATTTCCTAGAAAAATCGAAGTCAATATTTGAACAGACAAATCCCATTAATGAAAATTTAGTTATGAAATCTTGTTTCAATTATATAATTGATATGCTATCCACGAAAAAACAAATTCCTCCAAAATTTATACATCATTTGAAAAATGTGAATGACACTGGTACCTCATCAAATTTGATCAATGCAATTAATTCGATAAATGAATATGAGATGAACTTTTTGATGACTGTTTCTTCTATTTATGTTGAAAATCCAGGAGAAGATATGATAAACATGGCAAAGCATTCTCCATTATTAATAGCTATAGTAAATGATATTATATATCCAAAAAATAAACAACTTGATAGCTTAGACACAGTTCTTGAAAGAAAACAGCATTTGACTACTATTAATAAATTATTATATAATAATATGGTCTTGGTCAATTATGTCAATGTTTTGGAAGAGAATGCTCAATATATTATTAATAGCTATAAATTATTAATTTTAGAATTAGCAACATGTCTTAAATTATCATCAGTACCATTTAAAATTGCTGAAGTAGTCAATTTGTGCAATAGAAAATTGGATTTATTATTTGTTGGCCACAATGATGTCATTTTGAAACAGAAAAATAATTTTAAACAGGCAATAAATAAATCTCTGATTGTGATGAAATCTTTGGAAGAGTTAGTCAAGATTAAACTTAAAAATTATGAGTGGAAAATTGAAATGATATATCAAGTTGGTTTGCTAAATATATTCATTGGACTATTGAAGATCACTTTATTCTGCAGTTTAGGTCCAATGGACTCAATACAAAAACATGGACTCAAACTACAATATATTAAAGAAGAATTATTATCTGCAGAAAATTTTATACTATCTGGAAAACTAAATGAATATATTAAAAACGGAAGTTTGGATGTTAAACATGATTATCACAAAAAGCTCTATGAGTTATGGAATAATTTAAAATTACGGGAACAAAAACTATCAGAATTTCAAGCTGTTCGCCCCGTTCTAAATTATTCATCTCTGAGTAAAGATTGTGAACATTTTATAAAAACTATAACATCATCTGAATTTGTGTTTGATCTTCTAAGAAAAATTGAAAAATATAAAATTTTGCTATATGATGGATGCTTTGTAAACAAAAATGATACTTCAGAGAAAGGTCTAGATATAGCAAAGCAATTATTGAGTGAAATCTCATCTTGGAAATATTCTCAAATTCGTTTTAAAAATCATATCAACACAAATTTTATGTCGTATCCAGATTTAATAAAACCAATATCATATGCAGTATCACACTTAGTAACAGGTGTTCAGGGCCTAGAGGAAACATTGATGAAACTCATTTTTGAAATGAAGAGCACTATAAGAGATAAAGATGAAATATTAACAAATATTATCAAATTTCCGTTTGGAAATATTGGTTCAAAATGTTTTGTTAATGACTTGATATCAGGAAAAACTTCTAAACTTCTAAAAAATTATAGCAAGAATACCTTAGGATATAATCGAGATAATTACATAATAATGCTAAATTCATTGAAGGAAATAAAAATTACTGCATTGCCTCAAACTCCTTAAGCCCCAAGTTTATGGAATATATAAATATTATACTTAAAAATCTCGTATGCCAATGGCAAAAACAAGAACAAGAGAAAGAACAGAAGAAAATTGAAGAAGATAATTTGTATGTCACAAAAGTTAAATGCCAAGAGGAGGATGAGGAACAACGAACTTGCAAAGAAATTCAAGAATTCTTTCCTAGTTTCTTAAGCTTAGATTTTTATGATTTTAAATCAGATAATCTCAATAATGTAGCTGAAAAAAACAAAGAAGCAAATATGAACACGGATTTAATAACATTTGATGATATGACATTAATTAGTAGTATTCACATGGATTTAATGTTTGCTTTTACAAAAACAGATTGGTTGTGCCCTAAAAAACATGAATTAGACATTAATTATGTTGATTCATTGTTGGAGAGATATGAGATTTTCAGCAGGATCATAGGTGAATCAATTAATGGCTGCAATTCGGATATGGATGTTAAATTATTAGCTAGTTTGAACACAATAACTAGTGTTATGTTGGATAAATTAAATAATAAAGACAGTTCATATAAATCAATACGTAGTAATCAGTATGATTTTTATTCTGATAGCAATATTGCTATGGCCCGAGGAGCACATCAAATATTATATGCTATTCTTGATGTGGTTAAAAAACAATTAGAAGATTGGCCTGAACATCCAATTTTAAATGATATTGCTACCATAACAAATAGAGTTTTAAATTTTTCTGTAAACAGTCCATTGTCTAGGTTCTTAACTGGTATTGAACTACTCAGAGACAAAGTTGAAGAATGGAATAAGAATGCGCATAGGGAAAACAATTTGAAAACTCATGCTTTAGAACTTGCTCAGCTCATTATTGACTGGAGAAAATTAGAGTTAAATAGTTGGAGAGATTGCTTGAATATTGCTCAACATCGACAAGAAGCTATTGCATATAAATATTGGTTCTTTATTTATGCTTTGATTGATCAGTATTTTTCTGAATCACAATTACTAGAAGAAATAAATAAAGCTCTCAAGCAATTTATAGAACTATCAAGCATTTCAGAATATAAGATACGTCTTCAAATATTGAAAGCTTTCCATTGCCATATAACATATTTTCCTACAAGCAATAAACGTGATGAACTTTTATGTTTGCTTTGGAATTTACATCAATACTACAGCCAGTTTATTTCTATTGTTGAAACTCAGTTAAAAAATTTAAAACCCCAATTGAAAAAAAAATGCGCGAATTTGTAAAAATTACAAGTTGGGATAAAAACTTGAGCTATTGGGCTGTGAAAGATAGCGTTGACAAAACACATAGAACATTGCATAAGCATATTAAAGAATATCAAGAAATTTTAAGAAAACCAGTTACAAAATGTTTATTTGACAACTTAATGTTATCCAATGAGAATAATGTTGGAGCCTGGGATCGTCCGCATAGACAATCCAACCAGTATCAGTATATGACTGAAACTTTTAACTACATTGCTAACATAAAATTAAAACGTTTCATTGTATCTGAAGTTACTGAAAATAAGATGACGCATGTTTTTAACAAAGCAAGAGACATTAGTAAGGAATGCATTTTATTATGCAATTATCCATCTAAATTGCAAACAATAGATGTTATGTTGACTGAAATTATTGATACCAGTGATCACTATAGAAATTTAGAAATAAATACAACTTTACCTAAAAACAAACAAATTTCACAAGCTAAGAGTATTTTGCAGCAAAAACGGAAGGCTTTGTCCGATTTATTCAAATATCTTCAACAAATTGGACTTTCATATAGAAGTGGTCTATTGGAAATTAATATTCAAGGCGATGACTTGCTAAACTTTAAAATAAAACCAATGGATATTGAAGTGCTTGTGGGCTGCTTGAGTAGCAGAAAGTGTGATGGTATTTTACTCGCTGTTTGGGATGGTTGTGATAAATATTATTTCAGATCAATTGCTAGATATGTAGGTCTGATGAATGTAATGAAATCCCCAGCTCAAGACTTGGGAATACAAAATATTGATCGGTGCAAAGGATTTGCAGCTGATACAATACTCTTAGTTCAATCACAGAAAGAACTGTTAACCACTGCCTCACATAGTCTAGTCATATTAAGGAGTCAAATTGATTTTATTTCATCTCTTGAGGAAACTGAATTTACAGTTAAACAATCATTTCTAGAAACCCACCTTATTGCTTTAGAAGATACATTAGTGCATATTATCTCAACTATGAAGCAATTCAAAATAACTTTAAATTCAATTCCTTCAGATAAACTTGACCAAAGTATAACTTCGGATGTAATAAGTTTTGACAATATTTGTTTCAATGATTCTAGTATTTTATTGTGTAAAGAAGATATTTTGTGGTGTAATACAATTGATATTGTGAACAATATCATATCTAATACCGAAAAAACATTAAATTTATTGATTAAGCATAAATGTACTATGCCATTAATTCTGCATGATTTTAAAAATTCAAATTCATCGTGTGCTTCAAGCGGTCAACCTTATACCAAGTGATTGTAAATGGATATATTCATGTTCGTAGCATCTGTAAGGAACTTGAAGCATATTTAGAAAATTCGAAAATGGATTATATATGCATCCCATGTGTTGTGTGTGCATGATTTACCTATACTCTATTTCTGAAGCTATATTATATCTATGATAGTGGATTCAAATGTAATGAAGATAAGGTTACATTGGCGAGGATTTGAAATTGGGTTTTACTTCTAATACTGATAACACGTATAATACTTTACAAATATCTCTTCAAAGCATTTATAAAAAGTACTTGAAAAGAAATGAATCGCAAACATCAAGTGAGACAAAAAAGAATCAGCAAGAAAATGTAAATGATGCAGTAGCTGATGAAAAATGTATCAAGTGTCTGATATTGAAACGACATCATTTAAAGCAAATGCATTGTGATTTGGTTAAGATATAATTTATTGAATGTGAAAAAAATAATTTTGCTAGTAGAAGATCTTTTACAAAAGCAGTAACCTTTGTCGAGTCAGGAATTTTTTGATACAAGGTTAAAATCGCTGTTACTTCAGTGCA